TCAAAGCAGACTAGCAATCACCCACACCGATGAAAACTTTACAAACTCTCGGTTCACACCCCGTCACAAGCCAGCTAAACACCCGCAAAATAAAGAAAGGTCTATCATAACCGAAAAATACACTCCAAACTATATATCGCCGAACATAGTTGTCCGGTATACCCTAAACTATATACATCAGAGCCCCTTCTTCGTTGTCATGTTCTTTCTCTCTGCCTACGGTTTACAGGGAAACTCTGTTTGACGATACATATATCATCAAGCGGTGTTGTATATACATCATCAAACATAGGTGTCCGAAAAACCGTAGGCAGAAAGGAAGAAGAAGACAACAAACAAGATTGTAGACCTTTCTGCAATTTACAACCACATTTTTTTTTATTTTATTTTTGAAGGTTTCGCTTTATTTTTAAAAAATCATAAACTGAAAAAAATAAAAAATACAAAAAAAAAAGAAGAAATGGGTGTGTTTTTCTTTTCTTTCACAAAGATTCTTTTGTGGGTAAACATAAAACAAAAAACAAAATAAACAATGTAAGGTTAGAAATGTTTTGGGGATCTACATCCCCATAAATTTTATTATTTTTTGTTGGAGTTCCTATGTATTTAAAAAAATAAAAAATACAAAACCGCAAAAACACACACACACACACCCTCCTCCCCTATGCACACACACACACACGCACACACGCACACAGAGCACCATATACAGAAAGAGAGACAACAATGAATATATATATATATATACATCATCAAATGGAGCTGCCCGATAAACCGTAGGCAGAGAGGGATAAGAGGACAAGAAACAAGGGGCTGTGACAAACTGTTTCATCGGAGTTTCACCGACTCATATATATATATCGTCACAAATAGAACTGCCCGGTAAACCGTAGGCAGAGAGAGAGAAGAGGACAACAAACGAGGGGCTGTGACAAACTGTTTCGTCGGAGTTTCACCGACTCATCAGGAGGATATATATATACAGGGTCACCAGCCCGTACGTACGGAGGTGCCCGGGGTGACCTCCGTACGTACGGGCGTTCGGGGTCCCGTACGGGGTCCACACCCGACGGCGTTCGGCCCCCGCCAAAAATATTTTGGGGCCTAAAAATAATTTTTGTTTTCTGAATTGTTTTTGTTGAGTTGTCTATGACGTGAGGTACCTGCCTATGAATTTTCAAGTCATTTGGCTCAGCCAAATAGGAATTAAAAATCACCAAAGATGGCAGTGTCAGAACGTGCTCGCCCACGATTTTTCCACTTTTCACTTTTTTTTCCCCTTTAGTTTAGGGTCTTAACAATTTTATTATTTTTTGAAAATTTTTTAGTGGGTTTTGCATGATGTGAAGTACACATCTGCAAATTTTCAGAAAATTTAGCTATGCTAAAAAAAAATAAAAAATTGCCAAAGATGGAGGTGTCATGAAAAAGGTCACGCACTCAATAAATTAAATTATTTTTTTATTTTTTATTATTTTTATTATTAGTTTTTTCTCTCCGTATTTTATTTTTATTTCAAATTTGGTAAGGAATTTGGATGTAATGCTCAGACAAATCTTGTTTAATTTCTTTTTCTTTATAACATATCTTTTTTTTCAGTTTTTTTTTTTTTTTTTTTTTTGGATTTGTGTTTGGCCCGAACGGCTTAACGCATCCCCAAGGGGTCCCATACGTTCGGGCGTTCGGGTTCAGGCGTTCGGCCCGTCCCGAACGCCGGTTACCTTGTATATATATGTATAAAATTACATTGTCAAACAGGGCTGCCCAGTGAACCGTAGGAAGAGAGGGAGAAGAGGACAACAAACGAGGGGGCTGCTACAAACTGTTTTGTTACATATATACATATATACACAGTATCCAGCCCATGCGTACGGATGTCCCCGGGCAGACCTCCGTATGTATGGACGTTTGGGGTCCCCTGCGGGATCCGAACCCGACGACGTTCCGCCCCCGCCAAAAATTGTCTCGGGGCCTAAAAATAATTCTTTTTTTTTCTGAATTATTTTTTTTGTGCGTTCTCTATGACATGAGGTACACGCCTATTAACTTTTCAAGTCATTTGACTCATCCAAATAAGAATAAAAAATCGCCAAGGATTGCAGTGTCAAAATGTGCTCGCCCACATTTTTTTTCACTTTCTACTTTTCGTTTTCACTTCAGTTCGGGGTCTAAACTACTTTATTATTTTTTGAAACTTTTGAAGTGGGTTTTGCATTATGTGAAGTTCACATCTGTAAATCTTCAGGGAATTTAGCTATGCCAAAAAAAAAAAAAAAATCGCCAAAGATTGCAGTGTCGAAAACGTGCTCGCGCACTCACTAAATTGAATTCTTTTTCTATTTATTGCTATTTCTATTATTAGTATTTGTTCGCATTTTATTTTTATTTCAAATTTGGTAAGGAGTTTGGATGTAATGCTCAGGCAAATCTTGTTTAATGTATTTTTCTTCATAACATGTCTTCTTTTTTTTTTTTCTTTTTTTTTTCTCTTTTTTTTTTTTTGGGTCTGCGTTTGGCCCGAACGGCCGAACGCATCCCCAAGGGATCCCATACGTTCGGGCGTTCGGGTTCAGGCGTTCGGCCCGTCCCGAACACCGGTTACCCTGTATACCCAGATCCCCTCCACCGCCCACCCAACCCCCGCAAAGATCAGTCTCCCCCCCACAATTGTTTTTTTCTTTTTTTTTTTTCACACACTTCCCCGCACGGGCCACTGCCAGGTGCGCGCGCTCATTTGTTTTTGCGCACGGGCCCCCCAAAATGCGATTGTGCACATTTGAGCGCCCGCTGGGGGGGGTTTGACTGCGTAGTTACATAGATCAGTCAAGCAACCAATCAGCTAGAACATCCTCAATGATTGAGAAGTGCCTTGCCTATCAAAGCAGAAACAGACAAAAATAAACGATAAAATTCAGCTCACCATTTGCGCATCAGTCTTGGGATCCGCGTCAGTGTCTAGATCGTGATGCACTCTGCAAAGTATGACATCGTCGTCATCAAGATCATCTATTTCATTGGCAGAGAGCCTCACGAATCAGTCTCTCACACCCTCTTCTCCTTTCTTCTTTATTTACCCTTTCTTCATGACCCCCTTCGTCTTCTTCTTCATTGTCTTCTTCTCTCCTTTCCACTACTTCCTCCTTTCCACACTCTTTCGCTTGATCCTCTCTGACAGCTGGAGACAGAAACTTCTGTATTGCAGCTTCAAATAGCTTCGCATCCTCCCAGTACACGTCAGCAGTTATGCATCGTTTCCATACCCCTTGGTCCCTCCACTTTCACCTCCCCCCATAGATCATTCTCTCTCCCTCTCTCTCTCTCTCTCTCTCTCTCTCTCTCTCCAGCCACACAAACACCCGTACATATCCCAAGACTTGTTGCATTCCCGTCTTTCTCCTCCCTTCCTACGATCTTCGTCGAATGTGTGTATTTGTGTGTTGTCATGTTCGCTATACACTAAAAAAAAGGAAGATGTGCCAGATTGTTTCGTTGGACTTCACCGACTCATCAAGAGGTTAGTGATACCCAGTCTAACAGTCTTCCCAGGATGCATTTGACTACTGGATGAGGACTCGCCACATCACACCAGAGTTAGTGATACCACTGAGAGTATGTACATGTGTATGTGTGTGCATTTGACAGATGGATACCTACTCACTACATCACCCAGAAGCAGAGATACCCCTGAGAGTGTTTATGTTTGGATGTGCGTGTGTGTGTGTATGTTGTGGGATCTAGTTATGATCATCGATTGGGGAGGTTGACATAAGTTGAAGTTAACACGACGTCGATCTCCTATGGATCTTTCCACAAAATTGGTTCGTGCACCTTTGATGATGACACATGGCAGCGATGGACTGGGTTCGTGGGGGGCCCTGTGGTGGTTGGAAGGTGATGCGTGTCAGCAACGGATTGGGTTGATCGGGGTACTGCAGTAGTTGGGATTCTCACACCATATCTCTTGTACTTCCCCTCCCACCGCGCAACAAATTTGATTTGAGATAGAAACCCTGAAACGAATTGGCAGGTGCATCTTTCCACCTTTTAGCTGAAGATGCTTTCGCCATTTTACACATTTGGTGTGGGTACTACTATGTTCCCCGGCGCAATCTTCTTTTCTTTGCTTCACTTCTTTCTTTTCTGCGTTTTTTCTTTCTGATTTTCGTTTGACATCTGCAGAATTGGCAGAAAGACGCGTAGTGTGACTATCCCCTTGGGCTCACCCAAAGCAATGTCCTAGTGTGACCATGCCCTCAGATTCATCACAGCAAAGTTCGCCTTGGTCGGGGAGGGGCCTGTGGAAAGGAAGAGTAAGCCACTTATAGCCGTAAGCTCAGAGTTCTCAAAAACACAGACATGCCTGCCAGGCCCACAACAAAAAATCACTGATACTCCGACCTCGACACAAGCATGACCCGGCAACTGCTGTGTAATAGCCTTGTGTTGCAATGGTTCACAGAACAACACAGTCAGCAAACTGTCCAGACTGAATCTGTATGTAAGCGGCATGCATACCAAAACGACGATATGACAACAAAACCAGTACTGTATCGACAAGAGCCCATGAACCAAACTAGAACACCTTTCTGTTACATGCCGATATTGTGCAATAGCATCCACCAATAAAGCACATATCGAACGGCTATGGTCCGTAAAAGAAAGCCCGAAAGGAAAGCCCAAAAATGATGTTCCCTCTAAGACCCCAAGTCCGAACTGATACGATCTGGAAAATAAGAAAAAAGGGTTAGCAGCGGATTCAAACTCACGTCTGTATTTCAAGAGTGTTCATTAAATGTATCCCGAACACTTAGGAACTGACTCAATGAATCTGACCATGACCACCTGCAAAATTTAGCAGAACATGAGCCTGCGGAAAGGAAGAGTGACCCACTTATAGGTGGCATCGATATTCGCTGTAATAAACTGCAAAAATTGACAGAACAAGCCCTGGGGTAAGTATAGCCTAAGTTTCAGCATTTGAACTCAGGACTTAGTTACAGCCAGCCCAACTGGTTGAATCCGACAAGGGAACACAGGAGACAGATTCGAACTCAAGCCTCTGGCTTGTTTGTTTGTTCGTTTGTTTGTTTAAGGCTAATTCTTTTCAGCCCAACAGGACAGCCTGTTAGGCTTTTTTATTTTTTATTGTCAGTACACTATTATGGGGAACCAGTAGCAGCCACATCCATGTTGAAGCCTCCAAAAAATGAGGCACCCTCCATTCGGTGCGATACCTGCTACAGCAGGTGGGTGATACCGGCCACGGTTCAGCCGGTAGCATCAGGACCGAGCTTCTTCGATGGGCCAGTCGGTGTGACTTTCCTCCGGTCCCCTCCCATTACGAACATCACCAGTCTCTGCTGAACGCCTCTCCGGGTGACCAACGGCCTATCTCTGGGTTGTGGGCGCCAAGCTTGCCCAGGAAGGTGCATGAGATCATGGGGATTGAACACAAGACCTCCTGAATGCCACTTGCCTGCTTTACGGACTGAGCTAGGCCAAAATCGATGTCTCTATAATTTCCACGGGTACCGTACATTGCAAAAGACGGGACATATCCATTACAATACACCCTCCGGCTGGCGTCTCCGCCTGAAGCTTTGCATTCAAGCCCCAAAGAGCTCCATACCTGCGTATGCAAACGTCCCCGGCCACAGAATAAACAACGCAGGATTGCTTTCTTTTTCCTGCCCTTTTTGGAAGAGTGCCTGCCTTGACGTATTTCATTCGGAATCATTGCCTTTCAGTAGTTCAGTTCTGCTGCCAACTTTACTACGCTCATTGGTACGATGCATGATTCTACTACGTCTTTGAGACGGTTCGACCGGGAAAGAAAATGCCTGCACAAAGACAGTATCTGCTGTGGCTTCACCAGCAAGGAAAGAATAGAAAAACCATATGAACTGTCCTCTCATCAGCCGAAACCCGTTTCCAAGAAAACAGGAAGGCATATCACTTAACTTTTTCTTTGTTCTTACCGAAACGAGTTTTTTGTTTGGGAATCCGTTAACCTTTTCAGCACGGACGGCTTTTCATTCTCTGTTGCGTTACGACTCACAAAGTTTTAGTCTAAGATAAGATGTGTGTACTTTTTAGAGACACGGCTGTCCAGCTGTCCCCTTGATCTGTTTGCTTAAGATTTCGACTCTGCGTTTGCTTGCTGTCCTTGGTGAATATGTCTGTGATCAAGCGATCTTGTATGTATGGCATGTGCTTAATTGTTGAGTTTTTGACTGTGTGTGTGTGTGGAAGTGCATGTGTGTCATCCTCAGCTTGGTGCATCTGTATTTCGGTCTCAACTTGGTGGGCCCAGATGGGTGTGATTGACAATTTCACCGTCGACGTTGTCGAAAGTCGTCTTCAATAAAAAAGAGTGCTATCAATGTTAAGCACGTGTTGCAATGTATGAATAACGTAATCAGCATCGAATCTGCTTGGCAGTTGCTGTTCGTGGGGGAACTTGCTGGAAGTAGCACTGTGATGTGAGCCGCAATGCTGGGCGCAAACCTTGGAGCTTTTCCTGGTTTGCAAAAGCCAAAGACAAAACCCAGCAGCACATGTCAGCATCATCTCTCTCTCTCTCTCTCTCTCTCTCTCTCTCTCTCTCTCTCTCTCTTGTAAGCACGCTTGGAGAGTCTACCAACAGAGAATTACGAAAGAACATATACAACAAAAGGAAAACAATGACCACGAAACAAAAAAAACAACAAAAAAAAAAACTTTGGAAAGACCACGCACTGCTTTCTCTCTCTCTCTCTCTCCC